CCATTCAAGGGAGATGTCCAGAAGAAGGATATGCTCATTAGAATATTATATATATCATCAAGGGAATATAATTGCTAGATATATTATCACTAGATGTCATCAATATATATCATCATCGATAGGTAGGGAGGGAGGTAGATAGGTAGCTAGTTATATCAGCAATCAATCGGACATCAAGCAGGTAGGTAGATAGATAGACAAACAATTCAGGGGTAAGAATAGGTATCCAAGCCAATTATGAACTAGTGTCAAAATCAAGTCTCCACTGCATAAATAAAAATGGAGATTATCCAGCATTTAAACCAACCAGATCCATAATAGGTATTACGGCGTACTTTTAATGTATACAGGCATGTGGTTGTTGAGATATTGAATATTTAATATTCCCTAACATTTGGAGCGAAGGTATACTTTGGTGGGGTTGGCAATACTTTAGAGATGCCCCTGCAAAAAGTTTTGTCTCACACTAGGAATTTACACTGAAATATTCTTACTAGTATACTGAATCTTATGCCCCTGGGATTTTGGCAGTACTCGGGGGCATTGACCTCTATTTCCCCCCACCCAAGAGTTCCAATTCTCTTAATTAAGAGATGGAACAGCAATACTTAATGCCGATATCAATATTATTTCGGTTTGAATTCTTACTTAGTGTGAGTCAAAACGTTTCGCAGGAAGAATCTGTGTATTTCATTTGGCATGTTTGTTCTTGTTGCATACAAAAGTTACTTCAAAGCACAGAGTAGTTAGGGTAATCCAACTTCTTCTACACCCGTACTCTCACTCCTAAATCCATATTCACCACCCTGTGTTGGGAGTGTTGAGGTTTAGGGATTAGGATTAGGGGCTTAGGATTATGGTTAGTTCGGCGGTTAGGCTTGTTAATAATGCCTCATGATGTACCACTGGGGCAAAAGAGCTCAGTCACCACCAGCGCCATGGGGTATATAGAGGGGGGACGAATCACCTAGTTAATCCAATATTGTTTTAACTGGGTGTTAGGCTGAAAGTTTTTCGGGCCAAGCTTCAAAACCACGTTCAAATGAAAAAGCGCTGTGAGTCAGCAAGGCTTGAGAGCATTATAACCTTGCCTGGACTCTCGCCGCCACGCACGATTCGGCGTTACATTCGCAGCACGACATCGCAGATGGATAGAAGATTCACTGTGGCTGCATCTGATACCAGTATCGGTCGTACTGTACAGAATACATCGTAAGGTGTTGCGAGGCCGGATATAATAATACGTCCCACTGCTTGGCCCTACGGGCTGCGGAGCCCTGGAGGACGCCATGACTAATACGGGCTAGTGGAATACGAAACCGGTAACATTCTGGGGCAAGCCTGGCCCGTATCGCCGGCAACATCACCAAACGCTCGTCCCTGGCCTGAGAGACGTCACCTTTCCTCCTGCACCTCTTCCATCCAGACCTGCGCTGCCAGATAAAATCAACAGCACTTCAACGCTCGACTCACCACCACTGCTACCTCCACTACCGCCACCGTCTATTTTTCCCTTCGCAGCGTCGGTTTCCTACTTAGGGAAGCCATCTGGTTATCCTGACTTGCGCCGCAATCTCCGCCAGCAGGTGTTTCAAGTGGCCGCTCCCGTCGTTGCTTGTGCGACTGAGAAATCCTGGCCCCAACCCTCTGCGCTCCCAGCTCTACTCTGACCTAACTACCTGGTGCTGGTAGTCGTTCGCTAATTCTATTTCCCCTTTGAACGCTATCTTCTCTCTCCTGCCCACCTCCAGCAGCCAGCACGTTCACTTCCTTTCGTCCTGACCCTGGCAACCCTTGCGCAACATCCATCCCCTTTAAATTCACTCGAAACGACCCCTGGCTCTACACTACAACTATCGTCGCTGTCGCGTAACCGATGCGCCTCGTCTACATCGTTTACTCGTGCGTCACTATTGCAGTAGCATAACTCGTTTTCTTCCCCGGACCCTGTGAGAGACGAAAAGAGGTTTTGTAATCAATCGTGGCGATCGGTGCATTTTCGTATGGCATGTTTCGATTGCTTCCATGGTCTTCTGCCGTTGGGGCCAATAAAGTGACAGCGGAGGAGTTGAAGATGCTAGGCGCGCCCCAGCGGAGATCTCCCATCGTGGAAAATCATGCCATTCACATGTTGAAGAGGAAGCGTGCGGACTCCAGTGAAAGGGTCACTCCTGCGCCAGAACGCTTCCAACACTCCAAGATATATACCCGTCCCTTTGATGCGAATGGCAATGATAGGACAACAATATCTCCACACTCACCCTCGTCAATGGGGAAACTAGAATCCCCAAAGCCATCGCCACAACGTGACCCCCCAACCCACAACTCGCTACAAGCTATGACACAAACTACGGAGTCTGGAGACAAGCCCCCGTCCACAATCCCAGTGGAATCAGAATCAACAGCAACTGCAGGAACAGCCCTGAAAATGGATACAGAAACTTTACGCCGCACGCTCGAATCTCAGCTGAGCCTGGAAATACTCCTGAAACATGATGAGCTACGATTGATCGACCAGGAAATGGCGAAATGTCAAGTCGCACTGGACCAACTTCGTCGGTGTTCCGAAATTCCGTATCCTGGATCAAATATTTTGGGGCTCTCCTACGATGTCAGCAACGGCACTGGAAACGCAATAATGCCTGCGGCCGTGCATGGTCCACCACCAATATCACCATCGCCGTGGGGTGTCGCTGATGGGCCCTACAGCAGGCACTATGCTAAGTGGCTACTTCCTGACCACCGGTTTGATGGAGGTGAGGTTGAGACTCCGATTCCCCTTTCCGCAATAGCAGCAGGCACGCCCACAGACGGACGGATAACACGTGGTTCGTGGTCAGAACAAGGGGTTACTGGGACTTTGCGTTCACAACGCGGCTCTGCTGGCTCCAAATTGCAAGCACTATCTAGCGGGTATCCGCAACCGAAGGATAAAGCCGGACCTATGATAATAAAGCGCAAGAGCGATGGCCAACTTGTCAAATTAGTTTGTCTTGATTGCAGGAGGGAGAATTTCTCCAGCACCCAAGGCTTTATCAACCACTGCCGGATTGCGCATAACAGGAATTTCGCAAGCCATGACGCTGCTGCTGCTGCATCCGGAGAGCCGGTAGAAGTCGACGAGAAAGGCATGGTTATTGGGAATAATAACGATGCACCTGCAGGAACCGCGGTTGGATATGTGCATCCTCTGATACGGTCAGCTCTCCTTGTTGGTTCTACTCCGCAACCTGGTGCGCGTCGCACGGGCTCCCAGAATCAAACAGCAAAGCGGCCCAGTGTCAGCGGAACACCTCGTTCTTGCAGCAATCAGCCTGGAAACGGATCTTCGTCGTCGCAAACCGAAAAGACCTCTATTTCAAGCCATCCGCGACCCCAGAAAATTGTCGTTGAATCTCCCCGTTCCTCCTTTCAAGCTTCTCCGAAGACTCCAAATCTATCTTCCCTAATGAAAAGAAGGGGTATGACAGTGGATCTGCTTGACATCGTGAATGACGCCTTGACGAAAACAGAACTGGACATGTTTTCAGAGGATGAGTTAAGCGATGGGGCAGAAACCGAGAATGAACACCCAAACCACGATCGATCTAAGCTTAGTGTCCGAGGAAGCAGATTACCCGCGCGAACGATAGTTTCACCATCCAATGTATCATGGCCCGAGAGCCGAAAACGAGTTGAAAAACCAAGCTGCAAGCCTCACCCCGCTCCTTTTCCCCTTCCCCCCTCGCCTCGAACCCCTTACGTATCTCCATATGCCCCAGCTTCAGGGTCCACTCATGCTCACGACATCGACAACCAAAGAAGTCAAGAAAACAACGTCGATATAATAATGGCTGATTCGATTTCTTCTGATCTCAGTCCTCACACTGCGGAGTCGAACCAGGCACCAAGCCTTGTCAGTGATGACGAGGATTATGAAGCACCGTCAGAATCAGTAACACCTAGCCCCAGCCCTTCCGTGGCAAGCGATGTGGGTCCCGACAACATCGAGGTTCGGGATGGTGATGAGGGCAGCGGGGGAGGCACGAACGTAGCCACCACAGCAGCGTCAGATACGAAACCAGGACCCGAAATTACCAGCCCTTCCAAACATCACCCTCCCCAAGTTCCTCGAGAAGTTTACAAGCGGGAAAGGCCCAGGAAGAAGAAGAGAAGCTCTCAGAATACCGGAGAAGCACTTACTGTTACCGCTCCTACTCCCGCGACCCCGTCCCGTGCCAGTGAGAAAGATCAGAGGCATGTTAGCTTTGTGAGTCCGATTACCACTCCACGAAGAACGTCGAAGGATGGCGGTGGAAAGAGAAATCGTCGTGGATAGATTTGTTCGTTCGACCATAATAATTTCTAAATCTCTGAGTGATGTACTATCGTGTTTTCCCTTTTTGTTCACTCGTCCGCTTTTACTATTAGAGACTATTGTTTTTTTCTCTACTGCAGAGTTTTTTCCGTACTCGAGACTTAAGACGTTTCTATATACGTTGCTATATATTCTGTACATTTTCACCTACCGACAAACCGAAACTGTGGGTCCTGGCAGGTTTTTGTTGCCTTATGAACGAATTCCCTTCTGCTTCTCCTCTCTCCATTTTTCCTTTACTCCTTTTTCTCCTAAAGCGTTTTGTAGGCCTGCTTTGCCTTTCGCCCTCACCCTCATGGTTCCTCTCTCCTCCTCTTCTTCCAGCAAGTTATTTATTATTATATTTATTACTGTACGGGCGGGAAAGGGAATGGCTGGGCGGGCTTGTTGTCTGGGTCTGGGATATGGTTGTACTCTTCTTGCTTCCTCCTGGGTTCTCCTTTGCTACATTTTTTATTTCCCACGCTGGTCGGTTTGGGTTGGTCCAGGGTCTTGGGTCTGGGTTCGGCGGGACTGGGTTGATATCAGGGGCCATAAAGGGATTATTGTATTTTGAAACTCATCGACCGTATGTGATTATCCAATCTGTTTATCTTTTTTCTTGTTCTCCTATTTTTATTTTCAATTTCTTTTATTCTGTTCACATCTCTCATATCTTCGACTTTTTCTTTCTTTCTTTCTTTGATTATATTCAATCAACAGCAATCGCCCGGTTTCCCTTTCAACCTTCTCTCCCCCCTCTCTCTCTTCTTTTAGCCTCCCAGCCCGCAAGATAGGTATTCATTATTTTCTCACTTCTACCACGACACAGTTCATTGCTTTGGTTTTCCTTAGATCGACCTTCCTTCCTCTGGAGGGCGGCTATACCTATGCCACCTCAACTTGAAAACTTCCACATGCACATAAACAAGATGTATTTTGTATGTCCATAAAGCTGCAATCCACGGTCCCTTCAAATTTCCATTCCACATCATGCCATATGATGATGATACACAAATCGAAACACTCTCCTCATGTCGCTCCTCGAGTTCCCCGGCGCAGATGGCGCTTGATTTCTACCTATCTAGCCTTAAGAGTTGAAGAGTTGAATGCTTTACTCCTCTCTCCCTTCTCTCTTTCTCTTTTGGAGTTACTTCACATGTAGTTTGATCCAGTGTTTTCTCCTGCTTTTCCTACTTTCACGCAAATATGTATAATATATACATGATAGTTATCTCACGATATTAATTGTTTTCATATGGTCTTAGTGAGTTTAATTATAGCTTCTTTTATTCACCCATATGTATCTTTTTGGACTGTAAAGTTCTGCACCGTCCATACGGAGTGCATTGTTAATTTAGATTCTCTCCGTCTAAAACGATGGCGTGTTTGATCTATCTAGCCTCTATCTTCCTCTGCTTGGCGCGGCGATTTGAGTTCTGTCGTCAGTGACCTGGCATGTTTAAAAAGCCAACTAACTATATCCACAATTCAACCACACAGCACATATTACGAACTTCGCACAATAAGAAGCCCTGGGGACCAGGCCTTTGAAGAAGGGAGATAATTGTAATAGGCGCGTACAGTACACAGCCAAAGAAACTTGAGGAACTCCAGCAAAGGCTGTGTGAGCTGTGGTGGGTCCCCGAAGCAAGGAAAAATATATAAACCGCAGCTGGAAGCACTATGCTGAACTTTGGTATTCGTCCTCTTGGCACAGGGGCCTCCTTGGATATTTCCAACGAGTGTCAGTGACCGCAAGGTGCCCGCTTTTTCCACCCCGCGATCGAAAGCATACCTCAAA